GCTATTCGGCTATCGTTAATCGGATCATGACAAAAATGCATGTGCATATGTCCCATATAATGTGTGATGTATGAGTGAAGTTTGAACTTAATCGGTCCATGCATGTTCGAGATACAGGTGATCATGGACGCACGAACAGACGCACGGACGCACACAGGGCAAAACATAAGTCCCCGTTTTCGGACTACGTCCGAACGGGGACTAACAATGCTATACCACCACAGCCAAGCAGCCAAGCAGCCAGAATAGTAATTCACAGGTACTATAGGGTGTGATCTGGCAATGAAGCCTGTCACGGAACGCTATAACAAAACCAGTACGACAGATCACTCACCATCAGTCCTTGCTAGCTACCCCGCCATCTTAGCCCCACCTGTGTGTTTTATCCTGCCACAGAGGGCGCACCTCGTAAAACCACTTATGTAAATTAATGTAAGAATAAATAATAAGAATTCATGACAAAGCCTTTCTATAGGGTGTAGTCTGGCATTGAAGCCTTACTATAGGGTGTGGTCTGGCATTGAAGCCTTACTATAGGGTGTGGTCTGGCATTGAAGCCTTACTATAGGGTGTGGTCTGGCATTGAAGCCTTACTATAGGGTGTGGTCTGGCATTGAAGCCCTTCTATAGGGTGTGGTCTGGCAACGAAGTCTTTCTATAGGGTGTGGTCTGGCATTGAAGCCTTCCTATATGATGTGGTCTGGCATTGAAGCCTTTCTATAGGGTGTGGTCTGGCATTGAAACCTTTCTATAGGGTGTGGTCTAGCATTGAAGCCTTACTATATGATGTGGTCTGGCATTGAAGCCTTTCTATAGGGTGTGGTCTGGCATTGAAGCCCTTCTATTGGATGTGGTCTGGCATTGAAGCCCTTCTATAGGGTGTGGTCTGGCATTGAAGCCCTTCTATAGGGTGTGGTCTGGCATTGAACCCTTACTATAGGGTGTGGTCTGGCATTGAAGCCTTACTATAGGGTGTGGTCTGGCATTGAAGCCCTTCTATAGGGTGTGGTCTGGCATTGAAGCCTTACTATATGATGTGGTCTGGCATTGAACCCTTACTATAGGGTGTGGTCTGGCATTGAAGCCTTACTATAGGGTGTGGTCTGGCATTGAAGCCTTACTATAGGGTGTGGTCTGGCATTGAAGCCTTACTATAGGGTGTGGTCTGGCATTGAAGCCCTTCTATAGGGTGTGGTCTGGCAACGAAGTCTTTCTATAGGGTGTGGTCTGGCATTGAAGCCTTCCTATATGATGTGGTCTGGCATTGAACCCTTACTATAGGGTGTGGTCTGGCATTGAAGCCTTTTTATAGGGTGTGGTCTGGCATTGAAGCCTTCCTATTGGGTGTGGTCTGGCATTGAAGCCTTTCTATAGGGTGTGGTCTGCATTGAAGCCTTACTATTGAGTGTGGTCTGGCATTGAAGTCCTTCTATAGGGTGTGGTCTGGCATTGAAGCCTTCCTATAGGGTGTGGTCTGGCATTGAAGTCTTTCTATAGGGTGTGGTCTGGCAATGAAGTCTTTCTATAGGGTGTGGTCTGGCATTGAAGCCTTCCTATATGATGTGGTCTGGCATTGAAGCCTTACTATTGAGTGTGGTCTGGCATTGAAGCCTTCCTATAGGGTGTGGTCTGGCATTGAAGCCTTTCTATAGGGTGTGGTCTGGCATTGAAGCCTTTCTATAGGGTGTGGTCTAGCATTGAAGCCTTCCTATATGATGTGGTCTGGCATTAAAACCTACCTATAGGGTGTGGTCTGGCATTGAAGCCTTCCTATAAGGTGTGGTCTGGCATTGAAGCCCTTCTATAGGGTGTGGTCTGGCATTGAAGCCTTCCTATAAGGTGTGGTCTGGCATTGAAGCCTTCCTATAGGGTGTGGTCTGGCATTGAAGCCTTACTATTGAGTGTGGTCTGGCATTGAAGCCTTACTATTGAGTGTGGTCTGGCATTGAAGCCTTCCTATAGGGTGTGGTCTGGCATTGAAGCCCTTCTATAGGGTGTGGTCTGGCATTGAAGCCCTTCTATAGGGTGTGGTCTGGCATTGTAGCTTAATAAAACAATTATATATTCACAATTATATTTTATTGGGTGTCAATAATATAAGATACCTGAGTGCAACCCCATCTGTCCAATCAGAAGAGAAGTTCTTGATATTTAGGTCTGGTAATACTGCCCGTATCCACTCCATCATTAGTTTCTTCGGTGGCACTTTTACCGTCCTGGCACCATCTGACCCGCTGATTTGGTATTTTAAAATCATTTTCCATAATAGTCCTAAAATTAACTTTAATTTGCCATCAACAACGTCTTCATTGCCTTAAAAAAAAGAAAATCAAGTGTTATATTATGTTATGCAATTCTAAGTCACTGTCAATGATTGTATTTAACTGTATAGATACAGGACGCAAAGGGAAACTCATTGAAACAAAAGATAAATTTATATGACAAAAAACATATTCTCACTGTGGATTATGCAAAACTTTCTGCCATTGGCAAGAACTTTTTTCAAAAAAATAACCACGTGGACATTTTTTTCCAACATGTTTCTTTAGCTAATACATTATTTTAGCTAATTTAACTAATTCATATTTTTGCTAATTCAAGATGTCGCTATTTTATATTCTCACAATGAAATTGTTGACACTTTAGCTAAATTAAGAATCTGTTAATTGTGCCTGAAAAGGCACATAGTTGTTTCAACATGTTTTACAGTATGACCACTTTCCAGCAATATTTATGCAGATTTGCCTTGTTTAGAGATCAAAATAATAATTCTATTTATAAAACAATTTTTTAATCTCATTATTTTATATTTATATTTCTTATATATTATTTCAATTGTATGAGTTGGCGATCCATAACAAATGTTTAATCTAACCTCCATACTAAAGACCACCTGCCTATAAAGACCATTTTAATGAAGTCCCTGGAGTGAACAAAGGTTTGACTTCAGAAGTGAATATAAAATTGTATTTTTATGCTGGATCATTAAAATATGACTTGTTTTGACCTTTGTCATTTATGTAAGCGCATGTACTAGTAACTATGAAAAGATGAAAACGAATCGTTTTCCGGAAATACGTAAGCAATCAATTGTAGGATAGATTTAACAAATACTTTGTACAACAAAATGACGTAATCTGACATATACCATAAAACCTATTGTAATGTGTGTGTCTACACTGTGTACTAACATACATAATAGTATGCAGCATGTTAACAAGTCAGAACATGAAATGTGACAATAGCTAATATAATATATATAACTGCATGACCACTGTCAAATAGCAACTCTCTTAATCAATACATTGTCTAAATTCCAGTTGTGATCACTGATAATAAGCATGCCTGGAACATATATAACCCCAATACATAGTGTATATGTCCAGCCACACCCACTTAACGTAACAATGACACATTGTGAGATGTATATGGAGTATAATCAGTGTCATGTACACTTTTTGGGTTACACAAGATCTATCCTAAAATGCCTTGGGGAAATGGAATTTCTGAATTGGATATTAACAAAGAAAAAAACAAGTAGGAATTTGACCTATTTTGTGTTTCCAATCTGAGAAGACAGTGACGCCTTGTTATTTTACACTTTACCATTCTCGTTGAATCCACCCAATGGATATGAGTACCAGCACACATTTGTTTATAGTTCATGTGCCCCTTTTACAGTCAATCTTGCCACTGTATATTTTGTATTACAAAGTGAAAGATATTTTGAACATTAAAAGATACCAGAGGTACATTACTTGGGGTTTGTAACTACGGTGACATGATACCAAGATCCCGTCACAATCTCGCTCTCGCATAAGCGTTCCAACTCAGAAAAAATGCGAATGCGCATGCCCGAGGTAACTGGGATACTGGGATGTCCAGGTGGATCAAAATAGCTGCCCACGATATGACGGATTACGAGAACTATATTTTCTGTACATTTTCGATGTATTACATTTTTCACTATGATAGTGACAAGCAAAGTTTATTTTTTTCATTACAAACATTGAACATTGATATGCGTCATGTCAGAAGGTCGTAGCCTCAGTCTCGCTATCTACGAGAAGAGACTTGAATGGGATCTTGACATGATGTCACCAGACAGTACTATGCGAGTTGCAAACCCCAAGTAATGTACCTCTGAAGATACTTATTTATTTGATGTACAGTAACACAATAAAATAAACATAAAACAAGTGAGAATTCATTCAATAGTGAGAAGAAAATGAGACAAAGAAACCATTACCAGCTTGAAGTCAAAATACATTTTTCACAAAATGCAAATTAAACAGTTAACCCCTTGTTGCATCAACTTATTTGCTTTAGTTTGGGGGTGGGGGGTTTTGACCTCAAAAAGTTTCCATCCTACAAAAACAATTTTATTTTTTAATGAAGTCAAACAAATCTTGGAGTATTTGTAGTTCGTTTTTTTTTCTATCTAATCATAAACAAAAATGACAGAAAATGAAAAAAACACACCCAAGACTAGAAAATGATTGGGTCCAAGTGTAATATGTGCGTCAAATGAACTGCTATGCCATACTACTGTCAGATTATCAATGAATGTTGTCTGATGCCATGATCAATATTTATTAATTAAGTTTCAGTGGGGGGGGGGGGACTAAAGGAATTAAGTTTTTTATCCTACATTGAACTTTTGATGTTGTCCTTAACTAGAGATATTATTTAGGGAATAAAGAAAAAAATGCTGCCTATTATTGCGTGAAAATATTTGCAGTAGCATGCCTTGGAGAATCACGACACGCACAAGTAAATAGAATGCGAACATGCTTATAATGTTATTTTGCTGCCTAAAATGACCAGGATTTCTTAATGTGGATGAATCATAATGAGATTGTTGTTTAAACTATCTTCACAAATGAGGGCAAACTTTGGATATTGCTTGATTTATATGTCATCTTTCTCGTGTGCATTGACCCCAAGAACTGTCTGGTACCATCCAACACCATGTGGTACCAATCAACCAATGAAAATGCGCTATTGTATCATAAAAATGATATTTAATTTTTTCCTCAAATAGAAATCAAATCATCAATGTCAAGGGCAGAAATACAAGGGTACAACTGAAATTGCATTTGTAACTATACATGTGATTGGCTTATTATAGTTTATAATACTAATATTAGCCAATTAAAATGTAGTTCTCAAGATCTTTTTATATAAGCTCATAACAGTGGTTGCGACTAAAGATGTGCATGTACAAAAGTCCCATACAAATTAATAATATTAATAATATGTAATTATTGTTTTTGTAAACTGTTTATATAGATAATACTTATAATGTTATAAAGCTATTAATAAATAGAATGGCTGTACAGGATGAGATAATAATAATAATAGTCTTTAGTGAAACCGTATCCCAGTTTACATACATTCTTGAATTGTCAGAAAAGTTATCTGCAAATACTCATTGTAATGGGAATTGATGCCAATATCCTTGAATAATGAAGTGTATACATGTTAAATATATCTTCATATTCAACATCAGCATAACCATGTGACTGATAACAATTTTGGGGTAAAAGTTGGGTGTACTGCTTATGCATATTTATGAGGTTACTTTATCATATATGACCATTTCTTATGTCAGTTACATCTTTTGTTTGGTGCCTTCATTATGGCACTGGTTTATACTAGTTGTTCCATATTTAAAGTTTCTGAAAATTGTTTTTTTTTGTAAAATCCTGATGTGAAGTCTGTCACTATATAGATCAGTGTAATATGCTGCAAACATAAACAAGTAGATGCATCAATCAATTTGATATGATGTATGGCATGAACAAGACAGACAGACAGACAGACAGACAGACAGAGAGAGAGACAGACAGACAGACAGACAGACAGACAGACAGACAGACAGACAGACAGACAGACAGACACAGACAGTCATATTTGTGATTATTCACTACCATTCACTGCTGCATAGTATTAAATTACTGAATAACAAGTCATTGTCAATGACACGTCCCCGTTCCGTTCATATTTGAGTGACATGTACATTCAAAGCAGATCATGACCGAAATGCACCTGCATATGTACAACACATTGTGCTAAATCTGAACAAAATCCATCCATGCATGACTGAGATCCGGTTCTGGAATTGTGAAAATACGTGATTTTGATGCATTTTCGGCCTTAAAATGGCCATCATTTCGCTATTGTTAAGCAGATCATGAAACAAAGGCACATATCTATTTGT